GTTGGTGTGTCAGCTCAGGTCCTCCCTCTTTAAAGATTTCAGCAGGGATCCCGTCTGGTCCACTGGCTTTGTAATTTTTCTGTTGGCTGATGGCATTGCTGACTTCTTCCAAACTGGGCAGTGCTGCAAGCTCATCCCTGGTTTGTTGTTGTGGGATTTGTGAGAGGACCTCTTCGGCCACATTGGAGCTGCGGTTCAGGAGGCTTTGGTAGTGTTCTTTCCAACGTAGTGCAATTGAGTTTTGGTCCTTCAGGAGTTTGGATCCATCTGATGAGCGTAGAGGCTGTATGCCATGGTTTCTTGGTCCGTAGATGACCTTTGTGGCCTTGAAAAATCCCTGAGCATTATGGGTATCTGCCAGGTGTTGGATTTCTTCGGCCTTCTTTGTCCACCAGATGTTCTTGAGTTCTCTTGGACCTTTGGACCTCAGCTTTTGCACTGGCATAGATCTTTTTCTTAGCTGCACAGTTGATGTCTCTCTGCCATGCTTGGAAGGCTTTCCTTTTCTTGTCAATTAGCTGTTGGATCTCGATGTCATTTTCATCAAACCAGTCTTGATGTTTCTTGGCTTGGTATCCAATAGTTTCTTCGCAGGCTTGGATGATGGAGGTCTTCAGTTTGTTCCAATGTTCCTCAACATTTTCGGGGTGTACTGTGGGTAGATGGTCCTTGAGTGCTGTTTGGAGATGGGCTTGTCTGGAGGGCTTCTGAAGGGCTTGGGTGTTCATTTTGCGCCTTGTCTTCCTTCCTTGGAGTCTGCGCTTGGGAAGGATCTTGATAGCCATCGAGGATCGAATTAGCCTGTGGTCAGTCCAGCAGTCGTCAGCACCTGTCATGGCTCTTGTGAGGAGCACGTCACGGCGGTCTCTGGCACGTGTGATTACATAGTCTAAGAGGTGCCAATGCTTTGACCGGGGGTGCTTCCATGATGTCTTGAACTTGTTTTTCTGGCGGAAGAGCGTGTTGGTGATGACAAGGTTGTGCTCCGCACATTTGGTGAGAAGCAGGATGCCATTTGAGTTGCTGTTTCCAACCCCGTCTTTTCCTATGGTCCCTGGCCACAGGTCGAAGTCTCGGCCGACTCTTGCCGTGAAGTCCCCCAGGAGGATGATTTTGTCCTCCTTAGGTATCCCCGATAGGACGGTGTCCAGCTGACAGTAGCTGATGGCGAAGCCAACTCCGTGCATTCTTTGGTCTTTTTCGGGCAGTCCCTTCCAGAAGAAGGTGTAGCCTCCTTTTTCTTCCTTCAGCTGTCCCTCTCCTGCTCTCCGGGTCTCCTGAAGGGCTGCTATGTCGATGTTGAAGCGTCCCAGCTCCCTTGCAATGATGGCAGTTCTGCGTTCGGGACGTTCACTGCCACTGTTGTCCATCAGAGTCCGTACGTTCCACGTACCGAAGTTCATTTTCCTTTTTTGGCCGCAGGGTGGTGACCCCACTGGACGCGGCAGTCCAGTCAGGGATAAGTGAGGCAGACTATGTTTAGGGCACCTTTTCTAGCCCCCTCCCCATGTGGGGTGAGCAGAGTGGGTCCTCAAAAGGGCTGCTCAGTCACGGATACAGCTGCCGAACTACTCAACTGCCTCGGACCTTGAGGTAGAACGACTGAGTCCGTACCCACCGCCCATGTGCCAGTCTGTGACTAGGGGCTTCCAGATTTCACAGTCCTGCCCCCGTCGCCACTCGCTGATCGCCATGGGACTTTTGTTGGTTTGTTTTTTATTTTCTTTGGAAGACGCCTGTGCGTGGGTTTTTTTAATGTGTGGAGGTCAGTGCACAACTGATCAACACACAGTCTTCACAGAGTGAGGTTCCACTGGTGATGTAATTTAACACAATGACCGTGGCTTCTCAATCTGTTGCAGCCTTCCTCCGCCTTCACAGCCGTTGTAACATGTACCATGTTATCCTCCGCCTGCTCCGCCGTTGAGGTCTTTGGGTCTTCGGACTGTGCTTGGTCTGGAACCTCCCCCGCAGCCACTCCTGGGAGTGCACGACTCCAGTTGTTGTGCCTACAGGTTCATTGGAACGCGCAAGCCCCCTCACCACGACAAGGTGACAGTCCATCGAGGGTCACAGTCCATCCATGAAGTCACAAAGAGTCAGAAACGACTGAACGAATGAACAACAACATCGGCTTTGAACTGGGTTATCTGAGTCCACACTGCCATATATCCCAGTTCAAAGCAGATAATGTGGGCTTTTATTCAGCTGTGTGGAAGAGGCCTCAGATAACGTAGGGTCCTTCCACACAACCCTATATTCCAGAATATCAAGGCAGAAAATCTCCCATTATCTGCTTTGAACTGCGTTATCTGAGTCCACACTGCCATATATTCCAGTTCAAAGCAGAAAATGTGGGATTTAATCCAGCTGTGTAGAAGGGTCTCAGATAACCCAGTTCAAAGCAGGTACTGTGGGATTTTCTGCCTTGATATTCCGGGATTTAGGGCTGTGTGGAAGGGCCCTTGGAGAACCCAGTTCAAAGCAGATATTGTGGGATTTTCCGCCCTGATATTCTGAGATATAGGGCTGTGTGGAAGGGCCTCAGACAACATATTCCAGTTCAAAGCAGATCTTGAGGGATTTTCCACCTTGATATTCTGGGATATAGGCTGTGTGGAAGAGCCCTGAGTCCACACTGCCATATATTCCCGTTCAAAGCAGATCTTGTGGGATTTTCCGCCTTGATATTCTGGGATATAGGGCTGTGTGGAAGGGCCCTGAGTCCACACTGCCATTTATTCCAGTTCAAAGCAGATCCTGAGGGATTTTCTGCCTTGATATTCTGGAATATCGGTCTTTATCTGAGTGTGGACTCAGATAACCCAGTTCAAAGCAGATATTGTGGGATTTTTCTGCCTTGATATTCTGGGATATAGGGCTGTGAGGAAGGGCCCTCAGATAACCCAGTTCAAAGCAGACATTGTGGGATTTTCTGCCTTGATATTCTGGGATATAGGTCTGTGAGGAAGGGCCTTCAGATAACCCAGTTCAAAGCAGATATTGTGGGATTTTTCGGCCTTGATATTCTGAGATATAGGGCTGTGAGGAAGGGCCCTCAGATAACCCAGTTCAAAGCAGATATTGTGGGATTTTTCGGCCTTGATATTCTGAGATATAGGGCTGTGAGGAAGGGCCCTCAGATAACCCAGTTCAAAGCAGATATTGTGGGATTTTCTGCCTTGATATTCTGGGATATAGGGCTGTGAGGAAGGGCCCTCAGATAACCCAGTTCAAAGCAGATATTGTGGGATTTTTCGGCCTTGATATTCTGAGATATAGGGCTGTGAGGAAGGGCCCTCAGATAACCCAGTTCAAAGCAGATATTGTGGGATTTCCTGCCTTGATATTCTGGGATATAGGGCTGTGTGGAAGGGCCCTCAGATAACCCAGTTCAAAGCAGATATTGTGGGATTTTTCGGCCTTGATATTCTGAGATATAGGGCTGTGTGGAAGGGCCCTCATAGCCCAGTTCAAAGCAGATATTGTGGGAATTTCTGTCTTGACATTCTGGGATACAGGGCTGTGTGGAAGGGCCCTCAGATAACCCAGTTCAAAGCAGACATTCCAGGCTTGAGGTTCTAGGTTCTCTGTCTGTGTGGAAGGGCCCTGTTCGCGGCCTCCTTATCGACCTGAGAGGAGTGTTTGAGGCTCGGGCAGGTGAAGGCGGGATGAGGAAGCGCCAGGGAGAAATTCGCACTGGCGAGTTATGAGGCCATAAACCGGCGGCGGTGTGGCCAACAGGGAGTGGCGCCAAGAAAGGGCCTGTTCCTCGCCGGCGGGCCTCTCTGTCTCTCTCTCCTCAGGGGCCTCCTTGGCTCGGTTCGACTCCCCTCAGGATGTCTGTGGCTGCGGCAGAAGAAGCCGAAGCATCAGCAGCAGCGGAGGCGTCGAAGCCAGGCCTCGGGGCGCCACGGGGGGCGGTAGAGGGCCATCCTTCGCCTCAGCAGGAGCAGGAGCAGCAGGAGGAGGAGGACTGGGAGCGGGAGAAGGGTGCGGATGGCTCTCGGGGGACGTCGCAGAGCTCCTCACCGCCGCCACCCTCCTCCTGCTTCTCTCCAGAGGCTGAAGACAAGGCGGCGGAGGTGAAGCGGAGGCGCCTTGACGAAGACTACGACGACGACGAGGAGGAAGAAGAGGAGGAGGGTGGTGGTGGTGGTGCTGGCTCCCTCGCCGCGGCGGTGTCTCCGGCCTCCCTCCCGTGGCGCTGGTGGTGGCGGCGGAGGCGGCGTCCGCGGCGGAGGCGTCTCCTCTCGCCTTCTCCGCCGGGCCCCCCGTGCTGCCTCTGCGCGGCCTGTTGTCATGGAGGAGCCAAGATGGCGGCCCTGGCCTACTCCCTGGGCAAGCGGGAGATCAACCACTACTTCAGCGTGAGGAGCGCCAAGGCGCTGGCCCTGGCCGCCGTCCTCCTCCTCGCCGCCTGCCATGCCCTCTCCCGGCGGTACCAAGGTGAGCGAGCGAGCCAGAGAACGGAGGGAGGGCGGGCTGAAACATGCGGGTCGCTCTCGCGCTTCTGTATCGCTTCAGCACACCTCCAAGCTCTCTCTCTGCATTTCTGCAGACTGTCCACTGACAGGCCGGGTCCACACTGCCTGCCAGTGCCCGAGGAGGGCCCTTCCACACATAACGAGGGAAGAAAAGACCACAATATCTGCTTTGAACAGGGTTATCTGAGGGCTCCTCCATACATCCATATAAACCAGAATATCAAGGCAGGAAAGACTACAATATCTGCTTTGAACAGGGTTATCTGGGGGCCCTTCCATACATCCATATACCCAGAATATCAAGGCAGAAAAGCCCACAGTATCTGCTTTGAACAGGGTTATCTGAGGGCCCTTCCATACATCCATATAAACCAGAATATCACGGCAGAAAAGCCACAGTATCTGCTTTGAACAGGTTTTCTGAGGGCCCTTCCATACATCCATATATCCAGAATATCAAGGCAGAAAAGCCACAGTACCTGCTTTGAATAGGGTTTTCTGAGGGCCCTTCCATACATCCATATATCCAGAATATCAAGGCAGAAAAGCCCACAGTACCTGCTTTGAACAGGGTTATCTGAGGGCCCTTCCATACATCCATATAACCCAGAATATCTGCTTTGGACTGGGTTATCTGAGTCCACATTGCCATATATTCCAGTTCAAAGCAAATAATGTGGGATTTTTTCAGCTGTGTGAAAGGGGCCTGAGTTCACACTGCCATATAATCCAGTTCAGTGTGGTTTTTATACAGCAGCGTAGAAGGCACCTGAATCCTGCATCAAACTGGATTATATGAGTATACGCCAGGCATCTGCAAACTTCATCCCTCCAGGCGTTTTGGACTTCAACCCCCACAATACTTTCTGTCTGCTGTCCTATCCCACTTTAGAACCAGGATGTTTGTGTCACCGTCGATTATATGAGTATATGCCAGGCATGGGTAAACTTCATCCCTCCAGGTGTTTTGGACTTCAACTCCCACAATTCTTTCTGTCTGCTGTCCTATCCCACTTCAGAACCAGGATGTTTGTGTCACCATCAACACCATAAATTATATGAGTATATGCCAGGCATGGGCAAACTTCATCCCTCCAGGTGTTTTGGACTTCAACCCCCACAATTCTTTCTGTCTGCTGTCCTATCCCACTTTAGAAACAGGATGTTTGTGTCACAGTCAACAACAGCTGCTAGGAATAACCGTGGTGCTCACTTAACACTTCAGCATACAGTGAAGCATTCAAAGGATTGTTACAGACTGTATATTTTGCATTTGTTTTCCTTACAGCCACGTGTGTGTGTGTTCATATCTCCCTGTCAAATAGAGAGTCACACTTCATGTATGTGGTAAATATAGTACACTCACTGGTTTGTGACAGCTTTATCAGTAATAATAATAACAATAATAATAGACGCTTGGGAAGTATTTGACTTGTGATTTTGTGATATGAAATCCAGCATATAGATCTCATTTTCTGTGACATACTGTCAGTAAAATAATAATAATAATAATTTCATTTCTTACCCACTTCTACCTGCGGCTCGAGGCATGTTACAACACAATTAAAACATTGCAAAAATTCAATAAATATACATATTTCTATAAAAGATCCACATTAAAACTGCATTTCTATAAACACATATTAAAATACACAAAACAGACAACAAACAAAGGTCATGAGTTTAAGATTCATAGTTATAAACCGTCTGCTAAAAAGATGTTTCTTTAGAGGGTTTTAAAATTCTGACAGCTGATCTAGCTGTCGGAGCTCTACTGGCAGGTCATTCCAGAGTCTTGGGACAGCCAATGAAAAGGTCTTCTGCATGGTGGTCTCTAGTTGGGTTCTGGCAGACTGGAGCAGAACCTAAGTGTTCGGGGCAGATGGTACCGGAGAAAGTGATCCTGAAGGTAACCTGGGCCCAAACCATGTAGGGCTTTAAAGGTGAAAACCAACACCTTGTACAGTTCTTTGCCTGGAAACTAAGTGACAGCCAGTGGAGTGACATTAGGATAAGTGTAATGTGCTCACCCCTAGATTTTTCTGTAACACATCCATTTGCTATATTTTGAATTAACTGGAGTTTCCGAACTTGGTACATAGGTAGCCCAATGTAAAGCACATTGCAAAAATCAAACCTTGAGGTTACCAGCACATGCGCTACCATATTTAGGTCTTCCAAATCTAGGAAGGGGAGCAGCCAATGTAGGCTGAATAAATGCCTACATTTTCTGCTTTTTACTGGAATATATGGCAGTGTGAACTCAGATAACCCAGTTCAAAGCAGATATTCTGGGTTATATGGCTGTATGGGCACTCAGTTTCAATTTATTTTTCCTCATCCAGCCCATTACCTCCTCCAGGCATTCATTCAGAGAAGACAAGTTATCCTTAGCTAAAGCTGTTTTGGAAGGCATGGAGAAATATATTTGCGTGTCATCAGCATACAGATAACACCCTGCCCCATGCCTACGGATGATCTCTTCCAACAGCATGTAAAAATTAAAGAGCCTTGGGGGTATATTGGCACCTTGTGGGACACCATATAGCAGCTCCTTTTTGGAGGAATAGCTATCTCCAAGCACCACCATCTGGAACCTGCCTAAGAAGTTTGACCGGAACCACTCCACCACAGTGCCTCCGATTACCAGCCCCTCCAGGCGTTCCAGAAAAATACCATGGTTGATGGTATCAAGGGCCATTGAGAAGTCTAGAAGCACCAACAGGGACATACTCCCCCTGTCTGTGTTGAGACAGAGATCATCCACTAAGACGACCATATCAGTTTCTGTATTCTGCTGTGAAGCTGGATTGAAATGGGTCAAGGAAGTGTGTGTCATCCAAGACTGCCAGGAGTTGGAGGGCAACTGCCTTCTCAATCACCTTGCCCAAAAAGGGAGATTAGACACTGGTCTGTAATTATTAAGGTCCAGGGGGTCCAGGGAGGGGTTCTTCAGCAGCAGTCTAATTACTGCTACTTTTAAACAGGATTGGAAATTCCCCTCCCTGAGAGATGCATTAATAATTTGTTGTATTTGAGATCAAATTGCAGGAGTCCCTGGACAACCAGCCAAGAGGGACAGGGATCAAGAAAGCAGGTTGTCCTCCATACTTGCCCTAGCAGCTTGCCCACATCAACAGTACCCACCAATTGAAACTGATGCACTGTAATCCCACTCACAGAATTCCTGGACACTTCATTGTTGGCTTCTACTCCAGTGATCATGTCTTAAGTCAGCTCTTATGCGAGAGATCTTATGTGTAAAATGATTGTTAAAAACATCACAATGGATTACTGAAAGTTCTAGCAATGAGTTAGGAGGGGAGGGCACCTGGGTTAAGTCTCACCAATCTGAACAGCTCAGCTGGATGTGAATCTGCAGGCGTAATGCATGCAGAGTATAACATTTTCTTCACTGCATGTATTGCCATCTTATAGGAGCAAAGGTGTCCTCAATACCGTGTCTTGTCTCATAAAAGTTGAGCTTCCACAATCTGTGCTCTAGTTTGTTTAGGTGCCACAAGATATAACACAATGACTATAGATAAAGCTATCAACAGATCAGTGCATCTCTTTCATCATGTAGATTAAGTGTAATTCTCAATTTGGCAGGGCTATATAAATGCAGGTGACCATAAAGGGTGAAGGAAGTTTGAGGAAAACGAAATGCTAAAAGTATGGTCTGCAACAATTCTGTGAAGCTTAAATGTATTGTTGTTGTATGCCAAACTATTAGATAAGTGTATTGATTATTGTATATTGAAGACACAGATCTTCTAACTCGATTGGTTAACACCTGTAGTAAGATAAGAGAACCTCCTCGGAATAAGGGACTTCCTTAGATCCTAGAGAGAGTCTCAAGGGGAAGAGGATGGAATAGCCCATCTGCCAGACCCTCCTTGAGTGTCTCTGTCTTGTCAGTGCTTTTGCCTCAGTGACAGCAGCAGACCACCACAGGGTTGGAAGAGGGAATGACTGACTTGGTGACTGCCTCTTAACTTGGTCACCATGCAGATGCCCAGCCACATGGTGCATCCACCTGGCATTGTAGTTCCAATAAATTAGGGCAGAACTGGGTACCAAACAGCTCCCTTTCTGAACAGAGGAACCCCTGATAAATGTGCCTGATCAAAGCACTCCCAGCAGTTCTAGTAGAAACACCTCTACAAGTCTGGTTTGTTTATTATTATTATTTTGCCCAAGCAGGAGATTGTATTGAGTTCAGAAGTACTGTAGAAACAAAATTCCTGCCCCTAGGTGAGTGCCAGCTAATTAGGACTATGCCGTGTAAACAAAAGTACGTGGGAGAGAGGAGTGTAAATCATGCAAGCTGACTGCCTTGCTGGAAACAACTGACTTGTGATGCAGAGCCTGTAGATCTGAAACTGAATCCGGTTATATATTCAAAGAGCCTAGCTCTGACAGCCTAAAACAGATTGAAAGTTGAGGATGTCTTTCTCACTGCCAAATTCAAAATGCTAGGGTATCCATGTTGGCTATAAAATAAATGCCCAAATCCACATTTTTGCAAATTCCATACTGTGGCAAGGCTTACCGAAAAGGCCAAAAAAATCAAGTACTCTCATCAGGCAGTGATGAGTTATTTCCATCTTTATACTGCCATTATTACTGGTATTGTAGATGCAATATTAGTGGTGACCTAGAAGGTAATCTCACTACTTTGAAAAAGACGTAGCAAGGCCTTCATGGTTAAGTGAGTCTGGTGAATGGCCTTTGGGCTCTTAGAACCTTGTACCCTGATTACATCCCATAATTTCCCCATATCTGTTAGAAACTGGTGTTACTGTAAGCTATGTGTCATGCCATATGGCTGTAGAGATGCTACATTATATGAATATATTCAACCACTAAAATAAGGCTCCATAGAGAACACCCACAGTAATGTCATTCTCAAAATATTTTCCTTATCTATGATCCTTAGCACTTCACACAAAATTATTC